GGGAAAGGCAGGGGCAGACTGGGAGGACAGGCTGGGATCGGAAGGGCCAGACTGGGAGGACGGGCTGGGAGCATCAGGGCCACAGTGGTAGGCCAGGCTGGTAGCGGCTGGGCCAGGCTGGCAGTTCATGCTGGTTGTGTCAGGGACAGTCTCAGAGACCAGGCTGGGAGCAGCAGGGTCAGGCTGCGGTGTCAGCCGGGCAGCGACAGGGCCAGGCTGCAAGGACAGCTGGGGAGCTGCAGGGCCAGGCTGGGGGGACAGGCCGGGAGAGGCAGGGCCGGACCGGGAGGGTAGGCTGGGAAAGGTAGCGTCAGACTGGGAAGACACACTGGGAAAGTCAGGGCCAGACTGGGAGGACGAGCAGGTAGGGGAACGCTTTGGGTACACATTGGGAGTTGTGGTCCTCTGGGTGGCCATGGGCGGCAGGGAGCTTCTGCCACCCTGTTCTCCGTGGGTCTTCAGTCCGCAGAATAAGCCATCAGTGCAGGGGACAGGCTCGCTGGCCATATACAGATCGTAAGGTGACAGTTCGGGACCTGTAGGGCACCATGATGTTTGGTCTGTACCCTCTTGTGCAGTCCTCCCCACTTTTCTGAAGTCCCGTCCCTCGAGGGCCCAGCTTTGTAGCAGTAAGAATGTTGCCATAAGGTGGTTATATTCTTTTTTTCTGAGGGTGTCCATCACTTCAAGTTGATCGAAACCCATCTCTGCCATGTGGGTTAGAATGGCCCTCTTGGCAGACAAAGGGAGCGGCCCAGAAGGACTTTGGGGCTGGACACCCTGGCGCCACAGCTCATGCAGCAGCTCCTGCGCTGTTGGTCGCCTTTTGGCGCTCCTGTTCATGATTTTTCCTATCAAGTATTTCACATTCGTAGATACGAAGTCTGGGTAACGCACAATCCCATAGATTATGTCCTCATTTATCTCTGGAGGCTTTCCAGAGAAGAGACGCCTCCCTGTGATTATCTCATATAATATTACCCCGAGGGCCCAGACATCCACAGGAGGGCCTTCATAGGTGGGATACAGGATTTGTTCCGGGGCAGAATAGGCTGGCGTCCCACCAGGCGCGCTCAGCTCCTGCCCGGGGACGAACCGGAATGCGAACCCGAAGTCACATACTTTAGCTCGGCCATAGTTGTTGATCAAAACATTTTCGGGCTTGAGGTCCCCATGTACGATACCCTGCCTGTGGCAGTAATTTACTCCTTCCAAGATGTCTTGGAATATACTCAGGGCATCCTCCTCGTACAGCCTCATCCTTTTGCCGCAGAAGAGCAGTTGCCCCAGGTCATGCCCCTCCACGAATTCTAGTACAAGATGTACTTTTTCCTTGGATTCTGTTACCTCCAGCAGCTGTGTGATGTTAGGGTGTTGAAGGTCCTTCAGTATGGCAATCTCCGTTGCAATGTAGGCCGCTTGCCCCTTTGCCTTGTTTAATTCCTTTATGGCGACCTGCTTGTATGTGCCATAGTGTCGCCCTACAAACACCTTGCCATAGCTGCCTTGGCCAATGAAGTCCAGCACCTCATAGTTGTCTTCGAGTTGATAACTAGACCTGCTGGTTGTGAGGCCCAGCCAAGATGTTCCCTCGCTACAGTCTCCAGGACCTCCGCCTGGCACAGTGTCACGATGTCTTCTGCTCCCCATAGCACCAAATTGACGTCAGCGTCAATCTCCACTCTCTCTCAGAGTCTCCTTCCACCCACAGCAGACCCACCTGAGCCATGGCCTTATATAGCAAACTGCTTCTGTGATGTCACAGAACCAAGGGGCCGATGCAGAGCCGGCCACACCCACCAGGGCCACCTCACTTCTGACCATTAGGACCTTTCGTTTGTTCACAGAAAAGGTTACAAAATTTCTTGCTTGTGTGGGTTATGGAGAGTGATGTACACGTGTTTAGAAATGAGAATCAATCCATCCGATGTTCCAAACTCCTTTTCCTTTCTGTTATACCTTTTGTTTTAGAGCTCGCATGGTGTCTACACTCAACATATCCAATTCCTTTTGCTTTAAATTCTTGCTGGTTTCGGAGTGATGCTACAACTTCTTTGACATTAGAGTAATGTAATGCTCTGTTTAGGAAACATGCCATGGCCCATTAATGCCCGCGAAGCTGACAGGAAGGTACCTATCATAATCATTTCCCCCCAAAGACAATTGATAGAGAAGTGCTGTGCAATTAGACAGGCCCTGGCCTTGCCTCCATTTTCTTTTCCCACAAAATGTTTTGTTTTGGAAATGTAACTTTGTGCTGCTGGGCTCCTACCCAATGTGTCAAAATGGTTTGCGGCTGTTTGAAGTTTGCGTCCATTTGAACTTTGCGTCCTTTCAGGGATGTTCGGTTAAGCTCTGTCCCCTCACAAAAAGGTTCTGTTAAGCTTCCCCCCCACCCCAGGAACATTCTGTAACTCGGCCCCTCTGCTTCTGGAAAGTTCTTGAACTCCACCCCACCACCACCACAGCCCCGCTTAATTGAGCATGCTTACCTACCCTGCAGGTCCCTAGAGAGGGAGGTTCTCATTCCTGGTAGAGTGCTCAGCATCCTCTGAGCCCCCTGGGACTTGCCAGTGAATAAAGGCTTTTTCCCACCTCTTCCACTTACCAGAATCTTCACATGAGGAGAGCTGTGTTCCAGAGCTGCCACACTGAGCTGTAAAGCTCAGCAGTGCCTCACAGCTGGGGCACTTGGCTGCGAGAGTGACTTGTAAAATTCAGCTATGCCACTGACGTGAGCCATGAATCTGTTTAATGACAGTGCAGTGTCTCATTTCTGCAAAAGCCTCCAAAGGAGGCAAAAGCAAGTGTGACTGGGCAGGGTCCACTGTACTCTTGAGGCCCTGTCCCTGGATTAATTCCCAGGTACCACCAAAAAAGAAGAGAGGTTAAAAAAAATCACATTTAAAAATTCACCACTTTAAGGAAGACAACTCAGTGTTGATCACTCTTGGTCTAAGGGGTGAGTACGGATCACATGTGGCCTGAATACCATTTTTTTTCCTAAAGAAAACTGAATATATACATTTTATAAAAAATACTTCATTTTAAATGTTTGCAACTTATGAATTCATAGTATAAACACTGTGGTACAAACAAATCACTACTGTGTGCGGAGTTTGTCCTGTGGGCTGCCACTTTGCAACCTCTGATCTGGGCTTGTTTTTCCTGCGTCATAACCCATGTTCTCTGCCCTCTGGGAAAAAAGTTCTTTCCCACATAAAGACTTAAAATAGTTCTGAGTATAGTGGCACATGTCTGTAATCCTAGCACTATGTGAGGTTGAGGCAGTAAGATTAAAAGTTCCGGCTTGGCCTGGCAATTTAGCAGTTTGGTAAGTAATGTAAAAATGGCTAGAGATGTACTTTAGTGCGAAGGCCCAGTACCACCAAACCAAACAAACAAACGAAAAAGAAAATAGTTCTAACGTTACCTCAGAGGAGTCTAGGGCTGAATGAGGTGTATGTGGAATAATTGTTAAGGAATAGAGAAGGGAAATTATTTAATTCTAAGATTGAGAATGTGGACAGGTATGGAGTCAGGAATGAATGTGAGGTGGTGGTAATGTAGTACATAGATTACTGGAAGTTTAAGAGGGTTGGTGAGGGCCTGGTAATGTAAGGTTTCGAAAAGTTTTGAAGAGATCAATGTCTTATTTTGGGGTAAACTTGAAACTTATTGACTTGTTTTCGTTACTTTTCTCTTTTTGCTGAGACAGAATACCTGATACTCAAAAGTTAAAGGAGGGGGTTGGGAATTTAGCTCAGTGGTTCCGCCGCCTGCTTTGCAAGTGCAAGGTCCTGAGTTCGGTCCCCGGTACCTAAAGAGGAAAGGGTTTATCTTACAGTTTGTAGATGTTTCAGTCCATACTTAGCTGGCTCCAAGGCTGAGTGGCATGTGGCAGAGCAACATCACAGAGGAGAAACAGTTCATAGTGTCCATATGGAAGCCAAAGCAGCAAGGCAGCTTAACAGTGTCTTTCTGCTCCTTTGATCTTATTCAGACTACCGGGATTAGGGCAGTGCAAAACCAATCACTCAGTGTAGTGGTTCACTTAGTATTCATATGCCCTTAATGCTAGTATCCTACACTCTAGGTTCAGTCACCTGTGACCACATGAGGTTTTGGGGGGACATTAAGACTCAAGCCGTAATATTGGCTGAGGAATGAAATAATATTTTATGAAGATCTGTTTGGCATATTGAGGTCTACAGTAATTTACTATGGTTGGGAGTGACTCGAGGCAGTAAGACCAAACTAAGGAAGTGACAGTGGGTATGAAAGGGACCACAGATTGAGTAAGAAACACACTTGGAGAGAAAGAAACCCTGTAGTGCATAAAGAGGGCCAACTGAAAGCTCCCCCCCCATTCACTCTTTTGTAAATTAGGATGTGTGAAAATAATACCTTCAATAGGCTATTCCCTGTTTTGGAAGCTATAGTACTCTTAATGATAGATCACACATATATTCTTTTTTTTTTTTGGTACCGGGAATCGAACTCGGGTCCTTGCGCTTGCGAGGCAGGCCACCAAACCGCTGAGCTAAATCCCCGGCCCATCACACATATATTCTTATAACTTCTCTGCTTGCACAGGTAGAATAGAACGAAAAGGAAAAACTATAAAGTAGTTCAACTGCTTATCACATTTCTATTGTCAGGTTTGTGGTGACCTCAATTTCTGATGTTTCATTAGACTTCAGTTTATACACGGAATTTTATTTTTCTATTTATCAAGGTCGGGAAACACTGACAAATGGTTTGCTCTTGGAAAAGATGTAGAATTTTGCTGTGGAAACTTGGTGGGATAATTCTTGATTTACAATGTTTAAAGAAACTGATAAGTGTTGTAGAAGGTAAAATGTGTTTGTTCTAACCTGAGTGTAATTTTTAGGATTTTATTTTCGCCAGGACTTTTGTCCTGTGTTGTTTTCGTCTGCGAATCCACTCACGGAACAGGGTTCCGGAACCTGGACTGGGAGGAGGGCAAGGCACGGAATCACCAAGCAGACTCCCGGGAGGGTTCTGGAACGCTTCCGTTTTCTTGAGGAAATGTACAGATTTATATAGGGTAAGGCGGGGTGGTGCCAGGGTGGCGCTACTGGATCGCTATTGGATAGGGTAAGGCAGGGGTGGAGCCAGGGTGGATTCGGAATATTTGGCACATGGTTATTGGCCACAATTTTTGGATTGTATGTTTTAGGGGCTGAGGCAATGGAGTCAGGACTTTAGAGGTTTTTGAGAGGAACAGTTTATCTGTCTAAGGTCAGATCTCTACATACCGGAGGGGGCGGATTATTCCAGCCCTAACAGGCCTTGGAGTTTGCTCATGAGAGATGGGTGCGGTGTTCCTGACTCAGCCAGACAATAACCTGATCCTTGGTCCTGTTTATAGTTTCTTATGAAAAATTTTTGGACATACACAGGGAAGTTATTCTTTGTTTTTGGCCAACATGTAAAACACCTTTGCTTCAAAATCCTTTTAGCCAGTAAGCTGAATACTGTGTTAGGTAGCTGAGCCAGGCACAGTGTTGCATCCCTGAAATCCTAGTGCTTGGGCAAACTAAGGCAGGAGGATTGCAAATTCGAACCCAGCTTGGGCAATTTAATGATTTACAGAGACCCTGAGTCAAAATTTATAACTAAAAAGGGTTGAGGATATGTCTGTCGGTGAAGGTTCTGAGTTAGGTCCCTCAATACCTCCTTCATCTCCATAGCTGGGATGTTAGCAACATTTTCCTCATGGATGATGGGAATACTGAGCTGAGCTTCTGAACAGTATAAAAAGTTGCTGCTCTTCTAAAAATAGAACAGCAGGATCAGATGAGGTACATTTCAATCTTTTTCTTTTTTTGGTTTTTTTTGAGACAGGGTCTCACTATGTAGTTGAGTGTGACCTGGAGCTCACTATGTAGCCCAGGCTGATCTTGAACTCCCAGCGATCCTCCTGCCTCAGCCTCCCAAGTACTGGGATTACAGGCATGCGCCACCATGCCCGGCTATTCATTTCAATCTTATTCAGTGAAGAAGGTGTTGATTTTGAAAGTATGATCTAACATAGTTTTTGAATTTCATTTGCTCTGGAAATTGGAGTTTTAGGGAGTTTCATAGTTCTGCTTTGGAAACAGGAAGGAAAAGAATCTGGGATAGGGGTTAGAATGCATTGGTTTGGTGTAATCAGTAGTCAGGAAATCTAGATTATTTTTTCTCTTCTTAGTGTGTGTGTGTGTGTGTGTGTGTGTGTGGTATGGGGATCAAACTCAGGTCCTTAGGCTTGTGGTGCTGGGGATCAAACTTGGATCCTTTGATGTGACAGAATCACTGAGCTAAATCCCTGGCCCTTTTCTGTTCTTAATTAAATTTTTTCTGAGGTGATTGGGATTGGACCCAGGGCTCCCATATACTAGACATGTGTTTTACCTTTGAACTCCCCAGCCCTTTAAAAAAATTCTTTTTTTTTCCTTTTGGGAAAAGATTTCACTAAATTCCCTGTGCTGTCGTGAACTTCTGGTCCTCTTGCCTTAGCCTCTGAAGTAGTTGGATTACCATGCCTAGCCCTGTTCTTGAAATTTTTGGAAGAAAGATGTGTACTGTAGAGCTTATATATAGAGATTTTATTTATTTATTTATTTTGAGACAGAAGCGGTCTTGCTGTGTAGCCCAGGCTAGCCTCAATCTGACAGCAGTTTTCCTGCTTCAGCCTCCTTAGTGGTGGAATTGCAGGCGAAATGTGTAGAACTTGGCTTGCTATTGCTTTTCATTGTCCAGAA